ACTAATACTTTTGAAGCTTTCATGTTTTCTTATGCTCGAGCTAATAAATGGTAAGTCTGAAAGCTCTATCGTATTGCAAAGTGTCTGTTCTATATCTAACCAGGACTCATCTAGTGGGTTATCTTGCAACCATCTTGGTATATATTGCAGCCTGTTGGCTAAGAAATAATAATAAAAGTTGGGTAAATCCAGTCCTCCTCTGTCTTTGGTCTTCTGAAGCATTTTTAAGCTAATTCGTGGAGGTTTATCCTGCCAAAGGAATTTGGTAATTGAGGAGTCCAGAGATCTAAACCAGTCAGCTGGAGGTTTGTTTGGGATCATTGAAAATAAGTAATTTATTCTGGGTAAGACCATCATTTTAATTGTAGCCACTCTCCCCATGAGTGATATTGGTAAGGATTTCCATCTTGCAAGATCATCTTCCACTTTCCTTAAAAGTGGGATGTAGTTTAGTTTGGTTTGATCGGCCAGCTTGGGAGAGACATTAATTCCCAGGTATGGGATATTCCCTCTCACAATCATGAAGGCATCTTCCTGACAGAAATTTGGTTGTCAGATAGTACCTGTGCACCGGTTCTCATTGAAGAATTTCACATCACTGAATGTGCTTCGCCTGATGGGAGGGGAGGAGGTGTTGCTTCTATCTTTAGAGACAGATTTATCTGTAAACAGTTATTGTACAGTATGCTGGTGAAGGTTCTCAGTCATCCAGGCCATGGTAATCCAAAGGCTTTAACTGAAGGCAACTGGACATCTTTGGTTTCTTGAAGACTTTTCGCTTCTCATCTGAGGAGCTTTGTCCATACTAACTGTAATATGGTAGAATCAAGCTTTTAAACTGTAGCTGTCTGTTATTTAACGAGCAGAAACTACTCTGAGTACCCCTCCTCTCCATCCCGTGATGAGTCGTTAGCCTCTATTGAGAGGGAGTCGTGCTGATTAGATGCAGGAAGGTGTGATATACTTGAGTTGTTTGACCTTAAACAAAATGTCCATGCTCCAACACGCGCGCAGGGCTACACTCAACCTAATCTTAACTAGAGACGTTGATGTGTCGAACATTGTTGTTAAAGATCTGGGCCTATCTGATCATTTCTGGCAGGGTGTCCGCGGGGTTTTAAAAAGTATTAAAAAGTGATAAATAAAAATAGTCAAATTTAAGGCCATTAAAATTGTTAAATTTGGTCTCAGAGGTATTATTTTTTCCAAGTTAGGTATTATTTTTTTCAGACTATCAGGTGTCGTATTCTGAACATCGACATAGAAATATATTCCGAATGAAATGTTTTGAACGATTATAAAAATAAAACAAGCCGATTATTTGCTCCTCCCACTTGAGCTGCCCTGAGTTACAAATGAAGCGCTCCTCACAGTGTTGCCAACTTAGCGACTTTGATGCTATTTCTAACAGCTTCTCAGACCCCCTTCTTGACTTTTTAAATCTTAAAAGTACCTAGCGAACACCTCAGAAACATCTCTGGTAACCCTTAGCTACTTTCTGGATAACTGTCGTCGACATTTCCTGCAGGTTAGCTAAACACTCCGCCTGCGCTCCGGACCGTTCTTCAGGACATTAGGAAAGGGAATGATGTAGTGATGTGTCAGTCGCTACAGAAACGGCTCTCGGAGCCGGCTCTCTGTTGGATTAACCAGAGTGAGTGACACACACAGTACCTGCGGGCTCCTGAGCCATTAAAAACGGCTAAGTGTGCGCGTGCGGCGCGTTAAACACACATGCAGCTTGCCCCGATTGCTGTGAGACCGGGTTGGGGGGTGCAGCTGTGGTTGGGACAATTATTACATTAACTGATGGACTTGTAAATAAATAGTTTATAAATAAGGTAGAAATAAGTTCCTCACGCTGATAACTAATAACTAATCTCTCTGAGGACACGGTGCTAGTGCACTCTCCTACAGCACCTTGACATGACTCAGTAAATGTTATGCAACATTTTGTGAACATTAATTTATTTGCATTTATTTGTTATAAATGCCACTGTATAATTCTTGCTGTCAGTATTTGCAAGATATTGGTATTTGGGTCTGTACTGGTTAGACTTAAATGAGTTAAACCAAGGTCTATAGCCCTTGGGTCATAAACTATGAGCTGTAAGTATATTGGTCTTTTTATACTGGGAACCAGGAGTTATTTTAGTGATCATCTTGTTTCTTGTTTATTTTTGCCCTGATTGTGCCCTGAGCAGTTTTATGACTGAATAAAAATAAATTAAAAAAATCTACATAAATTGAAAAATCGTCTTAAATAATCGAGATCTCAATTTCAGTCACAATAATCGTGATTATTGTTTTTGCCATAATCGAGCAGCCCTACTTTAGCATATCCGGTCACATAATGATGACGTCATATTCAGTGGTCGTTCTGCATCATTTCAGGCCCCGTGGTCAACTGTCTGAACCGCTGAAAAGAAGTGCCTGGCACATTTTCTAAGTAAAATAAATATGCGCAATACGTTGTCAACATCAGTGAGTCTCTAAGTCTATTCTTTTTGTATGTTATATATGTTAAAATATGTGTAAATAGGTCGCTGATTAACACTTGCAATTTAGTGTTGTGATGGTTTTAAAAAAATTCTGAAGGTAGTAAAAAAAAGTATTAAAAAGTAGTAAATTTTACTTAAGGATTGCTGTATATACCCTGTCTGGGTTTTCTCGGAGATATCAGTCTCACCTGCTACACTTCAATCTATAGTTGTTCACAAAAACAAGGTACATAGGTGATCACACTGCTTCAGTTTTTACGGAGCAGATGAACTTATCAACACATCCAACATCCAGCTGCATTGATTCGCTCTTATCCAGCTTCAACCCCAAAACACTTGAAGTCGTTGACGCCATCGCACCTGAAAAGGTCCAACTCATTTCAGGCAAACAGAAAGCTCCATGCAGGTTCACCAGAACTGTTACTAATCAAAACAAGAATGTAGAAAAGCAGAGCGCAGATTCAGGAAAAGTAATCTACCAGATCAATGTCAGACCTTCAGAATTCAGCTGCGTACTTATAACTCGGACATAAAACAGGCGAGACGAGCCTTTTTCTCAAAAGTCATCATATTAACAATTCCTGTTACTGCCTCAGCTCGGTGTGGGGAGTTGCCAGTTTAGGGTAGAGAGGTCATGTGATCCAGTCAGTGTTTTACTAGTGTTGGGTTGTGTTCATGTTGGTAAACTAGAGTGTGTGAAGGCTGTACCAACTCCAGCCTGTCTAGACATCGAGTCCCCGGGTTTCCAGATCAGAGGAACAACTCCTCTATCTCCGTGCCTGAGGGCGTTTCTGCAGCTGAAAAGACGGACCTCTGTAGCCCACATGGGTCGGTACCAGGTCAGGTAGGTCCGCGCTGGGCTCCGGAGACCCAAAATTATATGTGGATTTCTGGAGCTCAGATCATCATCAGTACCAGGTCAGAACCGACCACCAAAAGAGACGCGCAGCTCAGCGGGCCAGTGGAGCTGGTTTCTGGGTCAGAACCAGGTCAGAACCTCTGCAGACCTTCAGGAGAGGATCATGTGCAGCTTTTAAAAATACCAGCTGGACTGACTCGCTGGTGTCTGGGTCGGATCCAGCTCACAGAAGCCCGCATGAGCTCCAGAACCGGATGACAGGCGTCTCTCTCCCTCTCTCTAAGCTAAACTAGGTGAGGTGAGCAGATATTAACGAGTACAAGACAGCTGACAGACGCTCATTAGTATTAATATTATATTAACTGAGCGATACTACTTTAACTGGTACATGATAGTAATCTGTACTACATTGTGATGCTAGCACACAAGTTTAAGCTAACATGGTTAACTCACCAGCTGGTCAGAAGTCGTGTCCCAGCCTGCAGGCGGACCGTTTCATGCCTGATGAGGTGTTTGTAGATCGAGCAAGTAATAATTGTCCGATCTTGAAAGGGATGTCTCTTTCTGCCGCTTAAAGTATTCTACGGAAAGATCTGGCTTGATTTCCCCCGGCATGATCATTTTGGAGTAAGCTGAAATCTTTTGCAGGAACTGAATAAAACGAAATGCCACCTCTTAACCTTTCTTTTTTATCAGTTCTGGACAAATATGAATGTAAGAAGTGTAAATGTCACTCCTTTCTCGAACGCTTAGGAAAGATGAGTTCCCTTAATGTGAAGTAAATATGTTAAACATTCCTTTGTTAATATACCAATATTAATATGTGGATATACTCATAATAAATCATTATTAAATTCAGCAAGTACTCATTTGGTGTATTTAAGATGTGAAGGAAAGCATTATAAGAATAAACATTTATGCTGATTCATTTTTTAATATAAAGCAGTCTTCAGTAGACCAGTGGCGGTGTTTCTTGGCCCATGCAAGCCTCTTCCTCTCATTCTGACATCTTAGCAGCGGCTTTCTTGCTGCAACTCGTCCTGTCAGAGCTGCAGCTCCGTCTTCTCTTCACAGTTGAAACTGATACTTGCTTACTACGACCACTATTAAGCTGTGCTTGAAGCTGTTGTCCTGTGAGTGGTTCTCCCACTCCAGAGAATTCATAAGCTACAAAAATACGATACAAGTTTGCTTCATTCCTTCTACAGTTTCTTCCCGTCTGCGGTCGGACTCATGTATGACAATCCCAGGGCTGCCCACTCCAGTTGCTTGGTTCCAGTCACATGACCCAGTGTTGATTGTACCTGAACTGATTCTCTCAGATCAGTACCTACACTGACTTGTGTATAACAGCCATTTCTCTAAGTACTGCCACTTCATATTATTATTTCAGCATGATTATATTCTTACTTCTTATTTTTTCTTATCTCTTATCTTTATCTTTCTTTTTGCACCAGATACCGCAGCGATTGCCTAATGTTGTGACACATGGCAATAAAACCTTCTGATTCTTATTCTTCAAAATTAAGTTAATTTTATCAGCTGGTTGATTCTCATGCTGAAGACTTCTGATTTAATTTCACTTGTTTATGACGTTTAAAATCCGGTTTAATTGGACTGTTTTTCATCTTCTGCTGCAGGTGGGCCGACACCCTGAGTCTTCCCCTCAAAACGGACCTTCTAGTGGTTCCACTCAAGGTTCTTCTGGCTCCAAGCCCCCAGTGAGCCACCAGTACCCTCACCAGATCTCCCACCCAAGCCTGAACCCCGACGCCCCACACACCCCTCACCCCAACATTCCGGCCCCACAGCCCCCCAATCTCGCCACCCCCCCTCCATCAGGTGCTGCGCCTCAGGGCCGCTCCCCTCAGCGGGAGCCTCAGAGAGTTTCCCACGAACAGTTCAGAGCGGCGCTGCAGATGGTGGTGGACCCAGGTGACCCGCGGACCTACCTGGATCACTACATAAAGATTGGTGAGGGGTCCACAGGAATCGTGTGCATCGCCACAGTGAAGACCAATGGAAAACTGGTAGCTGTGAAGAAGATGGACCTGAGGAAACAACAGCGTAGAGAACTTCTTTTCAATGAGGTAATGAGAGCTGTTGAGCAGAAATGGTGGCTGTCATGCAGTCAGACTTCAGTCAAAACATCATAATTTACTCATCAAGACATCTAGAGTCCTGACTCACAAACGTGATTGTCAGACGTTTAGATGAAAATCTACACAAGATATTTTATTCAAATAAACCCCCAACTCTTTTCTTTTTCTCGGATGCATCATAAACATCCTTTTTAGCTCATGCTGTGTAATTTGGGATTTTTTTTCCTCATCTGTACACAGCATGGACAATGCAGTGTTACCATACCCACCAGGGTTACTACGCTCGTTAGTGTTACCGTACTTGTTATGGTTACCATACTTGTTAGGGCTACCATACTCGTTATGGTTACCATACTTGTTAGAGTTACTATATATTAGGGTTACCATACTCGTTATGGTTACCATACCAGCCATGGTTACCATGCTCGTTAGTGTTACCATACTTGTTATGGTTACCATACTTGTTAGGGTTACCATACTTGTTAGGGTTACCATACTTGTTATGGTTACTATACCAGCCATGGTTACCATGCTCGTTAGTGTTACCATACTTGTTATGGTTACCATACTTGTTAGGGTTACCATACTTGTTATGGTTACTATACCCGCCAAGGTTACTATGCTCGTTAGTGTTACCATACTTGTTAGGGTTACCATACTTGTTAGGGTAACCATACTTGTTATGGTTACTATACCAGCCATGGTTACTATGCTCGTTAGTGTTACCATACTTGTTAGGGTTAGCATACTTGTTATGGTTACCATACTCGTTAGGGTTACCATACTCATTAGGGTTACCATACCCGCCAGGGTTACTATGCTCGTTAGTGTTACCATACTCGTTAGTGTCATGACTCGAGGTAAGTGCCTAACCCAAGACATGCAGAATCATACTCGTCGGGCAGAATTGGTAAAGTTCTTTATTTCACAAACGGGAACAGAAACAGCTCAGGGAAGTCCTGTGAGAGTGAGCGGTGCAGCTCTAGTCCTTGTAGCGTTCGGGATGAACGAGAGAGGAGGGGAAGCCGGGGTGAGCGCTGGGCAAAGGGTGAGCGCTCCGGGAGGGGTGAGGTAGCAGAGGGAGTCCAAACAGGAACAACGGAGGAGGATGGGATGTGGTGTGTGAGATCCAGCGTACGTAGACAGCAAAGGTGGAGCAGGTGGTGTGAGAATCCTGAGAGGAAGGGAAAGAAACACCAAACGTCAGGGATAATCCAAAAACGTAGTCCAAAAACACAATCCAAGGTCATAAATCCAATAGTCAGAGAGCAAGTCAAAACACAAACGAACAAGAGCAAACAAGTGGCTGGGGCTACCTAAACTGGTGCAATCATCCGGCACAGTGAGGTGTCTCCATCCTCCTTTTAAACCCGCGTTCCTGATTTTGAAATCTCCTGCAGCTGCCGCTCCCTCTGCTCCTCATCTGTGGAGAATTAACTCAAGGCTGATGAGAGGAGATGGTGTGACTCACCTCTGCCCAGGTACATGACAGTGCCCCCCCCCTCCCCCCCCTCAACGGACGCCCCCTGGCATCCCAACGCCGGACCTGGAGGCCTCAAAGTCCGTGATGAGAGAGGGATCCTCGATCTAGGACCGGGGAATCCAGGAGCGTTCCTCCGGGCCGTAACCCTCCCAGTCTACCAAATACTGAAGACCTCAACCACGGGGGCGTGAGTCAAGGATGTGCCAAACCTTGTAGACCAGCCCCTCTTTGTAGAGCTGAGCAGGGGGAGGCGGAGCCGGAACCAGGCACAGAGGACTGAAGACAACGGGCTTAACCAGGGAGACGTGGAACACGGGATGAATCCGGAGAGAAGACGGGAGATCCAGCCGAACGGTCGTCGAGCTCAGAACTGCTGCCACCTTGAAGGGAGCAAGGAACCTAGGAGAGAACTTCTTTGTAGTCGCCTTCAGGGGAACATCCTTAGATGATAGCCAGACCATCTGTCCAGGAGAGTAGGTGGGAGCTGGGCGACGGTGTCGGTCAGCCAACCGCTGATTCCTCTCCGCAGTCCGTTGTAGAGCCGATCTCGTGGCAATCCATGCACGACGGGCCCGACGAAGGAACTGAGGAGTGGTGGTGGTGGGGATATCTGTATGTAGGGGGAACAGAGAGGGCTGATATCCGAGGGAGGATTCGAATGGGGACTGACCTGTGGCGGAGGAGACGTGGCTGTTATGAGCGTACTCGACCCAAGCCAGGTGGTCACTCCAGGTTGATGGGTTGGTGGCACACACGCAGCGGAGCATGGCGCCCATCTCCTGATTCATTCGCTCACATTGGCCGTTAGTCTGTGGGTGAAATCCTGAGGTTAGAGCCACCCGGGCCCCCAGAGCAGTGGTAAACTCCTTCCAGATTCGAGACACAAACTGGGGGCCACGATCAGAGAGGATCTCTGTTGGAATCCCATGAAGACGAAAAACATGCTTTATTAGGAGCTGGGCTGTGACAGCGGAAGTAGGAAGGGCCTTTAACGGCACCAGATGACAGGCCTTGGAGAACCTGTCCACTATGGTTAAAATAACATTAAAACCACGTGAGAGTGGTAACCCACAAACAAAGTCCAAGGCAATATGGGACCATGGACGGGATGGCACAGGTAGAGGACTAAGTAGACCTGCAGGAGGCTGATTGGTACCTTTTTGCTGGGCACATACGTGGCAGGCTGACACATACTCCTTCACATCTTTGTAGAGGGAGGACCACCAGAAAGAGCGCCTAATCAGGGCCAATGTTCGTCCCACTCCAGGATGAATCGAAAACCTCCCGGTGTGTGCCCAGTCAATCACCTTTCTTCGTAGTTCCTGAGGAACAAACAATCTATTGGGGGGTCCATTACCTGGGCCGGGGTCCACCTTCAGGACCTCCAGAACCTGGTCTCTTATAGGCCAGGTCACTCCAGCCACAATGCAGGAGGCAGGCAAGATGGTGCTAGGAGTCATTTCGTCCTCGGTGGCGAACTGACGAGACAGAGCGTCAGGCTTCGTGTTCTTAGACCCCGGTCTATAGGACAAAACAAAGTTAAAACGGGAGAAGAACAAGGACCACCTGTATTGTCGGGGGTTTAGTCTTTTTGCCTCTTTGAGGTAGATTAAGTTCTTATGATCCGTCCAAATAATGAACGGTAGTTCAGCCCCCTCCAGCCAATGCCTCCACTCCTCTAGAGCCAGTTTCACAGCAAGTAACTCCCTGTCCCCCACGTAATACCTGCTCTCGGTGGGCGTCAAGCGTCGTGAAAAGAAGGCGCAGGGATGGAGCTTGTGGTTGACCGGGGATACCTGGGAGAGGACTGCTCCAACCCCGGTGTCTAAGGCGTCCACCTCCACTGTGAACTGCTGTTTGGGGTCTGGTCTGGAAAGGACCGGAGCCTCTGTGAATTTCCTCTTAAGTGTCTTGAATGCGGCTTCGGCTTCTGGGGACCAAGAAAAGGGCTTAGCTACAGAGGTAAGGGCTGTTAGAGGAGCTGCAGTCTGACTGTAATTACCGATAAACCGTCTGTAAAAATTTGCAAAGCCCAAGATCCGCTGCAGCTGCTTCCTGGTTGCAGGGGTAGGCCACTTCGTCACCGCCTGAACCTTGTCTGGGTCCGCCCTCAGTCGTCCGCTCACTAGAAAAAAACCCAGAAATTTAACCACAGACTCATGAAATTTGCATTTTTCGGCCTTGACAAATAGTCTGTTTTCCAACAGCTGTTGGAGTACGGCTCGAACATGTTTCTGGTGCTAGGCAATGGACCTAGAGAAAATCTAAATATCATCGAGATAGACAGTCACAAAGTCATCAATGTAGTCCCCCAGCACAAAGTTTACAAGTCTTTGAAACACCGTTGGAGCATTCGTGAGCCCAAAAGGCATCACTAAATATTCAAAGTGCCCCAGGAGTGTCTTAAAAGCAGTCTTCCATTCGTGACCTTGGCGGACTCTTACCAGGTGATAAGCATTGCGAAGGTCCAAATGAGTAAAAATGGTGGCATCTTGGACTGGCTCGAAGGTGGACGAGAGCAGAGGAAGCGGGTACTTATCCTTAACAGTGATCTGGTTTAAGCCCCGGTAGTCAATACAAGGGCGAAGCGACCCATCCTTCTTTGCTACAAAGAAAAAAACGGCTCCCAGGGGCAAGGTGGATGGTCTGATTATGCCATTGTTCAGGGCCTCGGTGATGTAGGTTTTCATACAGTCCTGTTCAGGCTTGGACAGGCTGTAGAGGCGGCTGGTTGGGAGCGGAGCCCCCGGCAACAAGTCATTGCCAATATCGAAAGGGCGGTGAGGCGGTAACCCAGGTGGGTGGGTAGGTAGGTGGGTGGGTAGGTAGGTAGGTGGGTAGGTAGGTGGGTAGGTAGGTAGGTGGGTAGGTAGGTAGGTAGGTAGGTGGGTAGGTAGGTAGGTGGGTGGGTAGGTAGGTAGGTAGGTAGGTAGGTAGGTAGGTAGGTAGGTGGGTAGGTAGGTAGGTAGGTAGGTAGGTAGGTAGGTAGGTGGGTAGGTAGGTAGGTAGGTAGGTAGGTAGGTGGGTGGGTGGGTAGGTAGGTAGGTAGGTAGGTGGGTGGGTGGGTAGGTAGGTAGGTAGGTAGGTGGGTGGGTAGGTAGGTAGGTAGGTAGGTAGGTGGGTAGGTAGGTAGGTAGGTAGGTAGGTAGGTAGGTGGGTAGGTAGGTAGGTAGGTAGGTAGGTAGGTAGGTGGGTAGGTAGGTAGGTAGGTAGGTAGGTAGGTGGGTGGGTGGCTGGGTAGGTATATAAAATTCTAAATAATATGTAAATTTCAAAATAACCTGTAAAAAAAAGGGTGGAACATCTGTAAAAATGATGCATTCCAATATGGTAGCCTGGTGATGTCATAATATGCAAATTAGATGAGTGAATTTGCTCGAAAAACTCTGGTGCCCAAAGGGTTAAGCTTTAGATGCGACACAGCAGATAAAAGATCCTTGTGTCTGTTTTTCTGCAGGTGGTCATCATGCGGGACTACCACCATGAGAATGTGGTGGAGATGTACAACAGTTACCTGGTAGGAGATGAACTCTGGGTCGTCATGGAGTTTCTGGAGGGTGGAGCGCTGACCGACATCGTGACGCACACTAGGTGACTAGACGGAGCTCGAGTGGACCTTTATTCCTCTGTAGTTTTGAGCTTAATGTGTTGATTAGAAAGGTCTTTAAAACAGATGGAACGTTTTAATAAAAAGATACATTTAAAAATAAAACCTCCACGAGGCATTCAGGTGTGCAGAACGAATGTAGTTTCTCCTGCAAAAGCTTTGTTTACAATAATTATGGGTTTATGTTTATGTCTCCAACTACCAGCCAATAGGGGGCACCCTTGTAGTAAAAAGTCACCCTGACATTTGTTCTGTTGACACACTACCACCTCTAAACACTAGAGGTCGCTATAGGGTCTGTGTTCCAGACGGTTCCAGTTTTGAGGGCTGTCTGCAGAACAAACATTAAAACATGCTAAATAACATGAAAGCCACAAAGAGAGAGAGCAGAGACTGCTGTTATCTCGGCTCGGCTGCTGTGAGTCGGGCCGAGGAGCAGAGCAGCGTCTAACCAACAGGGCTCCAGTGAAGTTGGCTCGTTTTGTTACCTAACCCTGTTTGGACAGGGTTGTAGGTAAAAGCTGGTGGAAAGCCACATCCACAGCTTTGGTCTCCGATTGTGTGCGTTTTTTTCTTTAGTCGTTGCATTTTCATTTCTGCAGAAATTAAACGAGGAACTGATGAGACAGGCATCCAAATGAACACCGAATAGTTAGTTTATGGACTTGTTTTGTGTTTTGGGCCTCTAGGGGGCAGTGTGGGACCACGGGTTCCATGTGTTCCTCATGAATGCAGCTGAAGTCAATTTGAAGTCGTAAAACCAGAGTTGGTGTGTTAATCTCTCGCTCTTTTCAGGATGAACGAGGAGCAGATCGCCACCGTGTGTTTGTCCGTCTTGAAGGCGTTGTCCGTCCTGCACGACCAGGGGGTGATCCACAGAGACATCAAGAGCGACTCCATCCTTCTGACTCACGACGGTCGGGTACGTTTAGCTTCTTGCATTATTTGGTTCTTTGAACACAGGAAAGGGTTGTTTTACCTTTAGTTTCATCCTGAGGAAGTCCTGGGAGCAGGTCTGATCAGAAGGAGGAATGAAGAGGCCAGGTCCATCTGTTTGTGGACTTTTATGCTTTTAAATAAATAAATAAATAAACTTTCGTAATGAAGAGGATGTTCATTAGCTTTGGTGGCCATCTTTAATTGGACTGACTGACGGTTATTTAGATTTTATTTTCGATTCATCCATCAGGTTTCACATTTCTCATCTACCGTGTTCAGCGCCTTGGGCGTCCCAACAGGGGGAAGGCGCTTTATAAATAAAGCTTTGATTGATAGATGTAGATCCTAGCTCAGGGGTGCAGATAGGATTTTCAAACGGGGGGGGGCAAAATTCCAATGTACACTCACACACACACACACGCACACACACACACACACACACACACGCACGCACACACACACACACACATATACACACACACACACCCACACGCACGCACACAGACACACAAACACACGCACACAGACACACACAGACACACACACAC